TCACTCTGCCTCAAGTGGTAGAGCAGTGGCCTTGAGCTGAAGGGCTGAGGACAAGCTCCCACGCATTAAATTAAAGCTCCCAGACTGGAGAAGAGAAAGAAAGAAAGAGAAAAAGATAACAGGAAAGAAGGAAGGAAGGAAAGAAAGAAGTAATAGAAAGGGAGGGAGGGAGGGAGGGAAGGAGAGAAAGGAGACAGAAAGGGAGGGCGGGAGGTAAGGAAGAGGGAATGAAGGAACAAAGAAATGAAGGAAAGAAAGATGGAAGGATGGGGAAAACACAGGATAGAAAGAAAAGAAAGAAGATAGAAATAAAGACACAGAAAGAAAGAAAGCAAGAAAGAAGAAAGAAAAAGGGAGGGAAGGAGGAGGGAATGAAGGAATAAAGGAATGAAGGATGGAGAGATGCAAGAATAGGCAAAAGACAGGATAGAAAAAGAAAGAAGAAAGAGAGACACAGAAAGAAAGAGAGAGAGAGAAAGACTTGGACCCAGGGAGGGAGGGATGGAGGGAGTGATGGAGGAAGGGAGGAAAGAAAGAATGAAGGAAAGAAGAAAGGAAGGAAGGATAAGAACAGAATAGGTCAGGGTTACTAAAATGGGGGCTTAGCTGGGCCCAGGTGGCTCCCACCTGTAATCCTAGCTACTCAGGAGCCTGAGTTCTGAGGATTGCAGTTCAAAGCCAGCCCAGGCTGGAAACTCCAAGAGATTCTCATCTCCAATAATCCACTCAGAAAACCGGAAGTGGCGCTCTGCCTCAAGTGGTAGAGCACTGGCCTTGAGCTGAAGAGCTGAGGGATAGGGCCCAGGCCCAGAGTTCAAGCCCCAGGACCGACAAAAAAAATAACAAAACAAAAACATTGCCGGCATTAGTAGAGCAGTTCCAGGACCGAGGAGTGGCATGAGCCAGGAAGTCATGGGTCTTAGCAGGGAAGAGGCCCAGAAGCCATTTTTTCCTCTTCCCCAGAGAATCTAGCAAATTTAGTCATCTTTTTCTCCGTTCTGAATATTTGGCTTTACTTTAGCCAATACGTTAACATAGTAGCAACACTCTTCACCCCAGCATACACAGATGTCTCCTATTTGGGCAGTGGGAAGATCTAGGGCCCTTCGGTTTGGGGCCAGAAAGGAGATCTGTTGTTAGAGTAGGCCAATGGAGGCAAGAGAAGTCTGAAGGCATTGTGTTCCCAGCTGCTTGAACTGTGGATGCTGTGGGGCTAGCTTTAAACTGTGGCCCAGTGTCCCTCCCGAAAGGACCACTGAGGCAAGAGTGGTAGCAGAGCTTCTGCCCACCAGCATGGCAAGAAGCACAGCTCGTGTTTGTCTTGGTGGAAGTCCACGTGTAGGGCAAATTCTGCAATGTTGTAGAAGGAAAGGTGAAGTGAGAGGGGAACCAACAAACCAGGTCTCTCAGCTGAGGAGTTTGCACACGAGTATAGGATTTGTCGGGGGTGAGGGGGAGAGCCTTTTCTTTGCTTGTGTGTGTTGAAGCACTCAAACAAGAACAAAAGCAAAACCTACGTTGGCATGCACATGTAGAATCTAGGAATGACCTTTCTGAGGTTCAGCCATCTCCTTGTAATCTTCTATTCTCTAATCAATTCCGATGACTGTGTAGAGCTAGAATGGGTGAGTCAATGAGGACCCCTTCCTGACACTGAGAGGTTCTGGGAAATTCTTGTCCTGCCTGGAGGTTGGTACAGGTGGGCACTTCCATGGCTGCCTGAGGCGCTTAGAGGAGGACAGGAAACTGTGATTGGCTGATGGGTTTGCTCCGCCCTTTGGGAGTGTCTTCCACCCCCTGGTGCTATCAAAGAAAGGCCAGGCCCATCTTCGGGTCATTGGGCTGGTGCGCTGCTCTCCTCTGGCTCCAGCTCTTGGCCGCAGCCGTCTCCCGTCTCGCTTGGGGTCCTCTGCTGAGAGTACGGAGGGCACCAGGCGACATCTACAACCGTGCCTGTGTTTACAGATGTCCTGGGGAGCATCCCTGCCGTTCCTGTGGTGCTGTGCTGCACCTGCCCTCTGTGACTGCCCGCATCTGCTGGCTGAAACAACCTACCAGCGCACAGACCTCTGCACGCAGACCTGAACCCACGCTCTGAACCTGCTCATGGACCTTACGACTGAAGAACTGACTCCACTGTCAGACAACAGCAAAGAGATGTCTACCTTCCCTGAGACACTGGAAGAAATTGATGAGTCTCTCCAGAGCCTCTCTAACTCCTATCAAAGACTATGCCAACATCTCCACTATTCTAGAATCACATCTCAGCTATACCTCTGACCGACTTTGGGGGAGAGCAGCCAGCACAATCCAACCCACAGCCAGGTGAGAGCTTCTCCAGCCCTCGGTGCTGAGCAGACCATCAATGGGGGTCAGATACCAGTGCCCGGTGGAATCCAGACATCAGGGAGGACTGATGCCAATCCCTGGTGGAGGCCAAACCGTGTGTGAAGACAAGCTGCCGATCCCTGGTAATGAGCAAACATCAATGCGGGTCAGATGCCAGACCCCGGTGGGGTCAACAGCAAAGAGATGTCTACTTTCCTTGAGACACTGGAAGACATGGAAGAGTCTCTTGAGAGCTTCTCTAACCCCTATAGAGACTATGCCAACATCTCCACTGTTCTAGAATCACATCCCTCCATACCTCTGACCGACTTTGGGGAGAGCAACTGGCACAGTCCAACCCACAGCCAGGTGATGCCTTCTCCAGCCCTCGGTGGTGAGCAAAACATCAATGGGGGTCAGACGCCAGCCTCCACTGCTGACCAGACCACCAATGGACGACTGATGCCAATCCCCGGTGGTGACCAGACCATCAACGGAGAACAGATGCCACTCCCCAGTGGTGACCAGACCATGTATGGAGGACAGATGACAGTCCCCAATCGTGACGGGACCATCAATGGAGGACAGATGCCAGTCCCTGGTGGTGACCAGACCATCTCTGAAGGATTCATGCCAGTCCCCGGTGGTGACCCGGCCATCTATGGAGGACAGATGCCAGATCCCAGCGGTGACCACACCATCAATGGAGGACAGATACCAATCCCCAATATTGAACAGACCATCAATATGGGTCAGCTACCAGCCCCCAGTGGTGACCAGATCATCTATGGAGGACTGATGCCAACCCCCGGTGGTGAACACACCATGAAGGAAGAACAGATGCCACTCCCCAGTGGTGACCAGACCATGTATGGAGGACAGATGTCAGTCCCCAATCGTGACGGGGCCATCAGTGGAGGACAGATGCCAGTCCCTGGTGGTGACCAGACCATCTCTGAAGGATTGATGCCAGTCCCCGGAGGTGACCCGACCATCTATGGAGGACAGATGCCAGATCCCAGCGGTGACCACAGTACCAATGGAGGACAGATACCAATCCCCAGTTTTGGCCAGACCATCAATATGGGTCAGCTGCCAACCCCCGGTGGTGAACAGACCATCAATTGGGGTCAGATGCCAATCCCTGGTGGTGACCAGACCATCTATGGAGAACTGATGCCAACACCCGTTGGTGAACAGACCATCAAAGGGAGTCAGATGCCAGTCCCCGGTGATAACCAGACCGTCAATGGGGAACAGATGCCAGTCTCCGGTGTTGACCAGACCATGTATGGAGGACAGATGTCAGTTCCCGGTGGTGACCAGGCCGTCAGTGGAGGACAGATGCCAGTCCCCGGTGGTGACCAGACTATTAATGTGGGTCAGATGCCAATTCCCACGGGTGTCCAGACCATCTATGGACGACTGATGCCAGTCCCCGGTGGTGATCAGACCATCTATGAAGAATTGATGCCACTGCCCGGTGCTGAGCAGACCATCAATGGAGGACAGATGCCAATCCCTGGTAGTGTCCAGACCATGTATGGAGCACAGATGCCAATCCCCAGTGGTGTCCAGACCCTCTGTGGAGGACAGATGCCAGTGCCCAGTGGTGTCCAGACCAGCTTGGAGGAACAGACAATGGCTTTTCTTGCTAAGCATGCTTTCGGTAGTGGTCATGTAGTCACCTGCAATAGTACCCAGAACCTCTCCTGGGACTCTGTGCCGACTCAGCAACTTCTGTCGTTGACATGCCCACAACTCGTCCATGTCTCAAGATCCCCTTCCACGCAAGGACAAGCCCCAGACAAGTGGGCCCTCAAGACCCAGAGTTTCCAGCTCCCCCAGCATCCTGCCCGACTGAAGCCCTATGTCTGCACATACCCAGGCTGTGGCAAATCCTACTTAAAGCCTTCCCACCTCCAGATCCACAATCGCAAACACACTGGGGAGAAGCCCTATGTATGCGATGTGACGGGCTGTACGTGGAAGTTCTCCCGCTCAGATGAACTCAAACGACACAAACGGACACACAGCCAAGATCGGCCCTACCTGTGTACCAAATGCAACAAGAATTTTGCAAGAGCTGATCACGTAAAGCAGCATGAGAGAGTCCACAGTTAATTTTGTCGTCATGGAGCTTCAACTCAGGGCCTGGCCACTGTCCCTGAACTCTTGTGCTCCCGGTTAAAACTCTACCACTGAAAACCACATTACCTCTTCTGGTTTGGTGGTTGTTAATGGAAGATAAGGCTCACAGACTTTCTTGCTTAGGGTGGCTTTCAACCACAATCCTCAGACCTCAGCCTCCCGAGAAGCATTGTAGAATTACGGAGCCAGCTTGTACTCTAAATCGACAATAATCTGTACATGTATTATCTTGAATTATATTGTTTCTATTATTCTTATAACTGTAAGAGGCTTTTGTAATTTCTATTTTGTATATGATATTTATGGTTTGTAGTTATTTTGTTATATAGCACAGTTTGTAATGAATATTTTTATAACCTTTCAAATTCCAAATAAAATACTACTTTGAACACACACAAACACACTCACACTCACACAAAAGCTCCTTCTTAAGTAAAACTCCAGGCAGGAGCATATTCAGGTATAAGTTTCTTCTGAGATAATAGCCCACAAGTCCTCATTTTGTCTGACAGAATTAATAAACCTTATTTCTTTTGTTCCAATTGTCTGGGAGGGGAAAGTCCATGAGATTCTCACCTCCAATGAGCCAGCAAAAAGCTGGAAATAGAGGTGTAACTCAGGTGGCAAAGCACCATCCTTGAGCAAAATAGCTCAGGCACAACACCCAGGCTCTAAGTTCAAGCCCGAGGAACAGCACACATGTAGAGCTCTAAGTTCAAGCCCCAGGAACAACACACACACACACACACACACAAACACACTCTCTCTCTCTCTCTCTCTCTCTCTCACACACACACACACACACAAACACACACACACACACACACTCAAAAAAAAGACAGTCTCTCCTCCATCAGGACAGAGAAAAGCAGCTGCCCTTAAGCTACGGAGGGTATTTCTAGGAAGGAGACTGAGAGAGATGGGGGGAACTGTGTTGAGAATGGGAGGCAGGGTTAACCTTAGTGGCCAAGCCAGAGCAACCTGGAGACACAAAGAGCCAGGCAGACTTGGCCTCGGGGCAGACAGAGCTTGGGCTTAGGGGCAGGCAGACATGGCCCCGGGGCAGACAGAACTTTGGCCTGGGGGAATGTAGGCCTCACAGAATGACTTCACACCTGCGAACATTCCACCTTTTTCTCATTTTCTTTTTTTTTTTTTTTAACGGTCGTGGGGCCTGAACTCTGGGCCTGGGCGCTGTCCCTCAGCTCTTCAGCTCAAGGCTAGCGCTCTACCACTTGAGCCACAGCGCCATTTCCGGCTTTTTTCTTTTTGCTTATGTGCTGCTGAGGAATCCAACCCAGGACCTCGAGCATGCAAGGCAAGCGCTCTACCACTGAGCCACCTTCCCAGCCCTCATTTTCTTTTTTTTTTATTATTATATCTTTAAGTAGTTGTACAAAGAAGTTTCCATTCTACAAAACAGCACATGAGTACAAGGGCCTGACCAACATCATCACCCATCACTCCTAACCCATACCCTTTTCTCACTTTTTCTTTTAATTTGAGA